CACACACACACACACACACACACACACACACACACACACACACACACACACACATTAGTCGACAACTCACAGTAATGAGGAGTGTGTGTGTTCAGGATAGAATTTAAATTCTTCTTTTAACATATAAAGTAAAATAAATCTTGTTGTACCACACCATCCTAACAGAGCCCTTCTCTCTCAGACTGCAGGTCTACTGGTGGTTCCCAGAGTATCCAGCAGTAGAATGGGAGGCAGAGCCTCCAGTTATCAGCTGCTCTCTTATGGAATCAGCTCCCAGTTTGGGTTCCGGCGGCAGACACCCTCTCTACTTTTAAGGTTAGGCTTAAAACTTTCCTCTTTGATAAAGCTTATAGTTAGGGCTGCTCACGATCACCTGAACTGTCCCTTAGCTATGCTGCTATAGCTTTAGACTGCCGGGGGATTCCCATGATGTACTGAGCTCCTCTCTCTCCCTTCCATACAGTTATAACCACCTTTACATGTCACTAACTCTGTGTTTCCCCCGAGGTCCTGTGCTTGTTCTCTCTGTGGACGTCTCTGGATCCAGAGCTTCATGTCTCTGACCTCCAGCTTCTGGCCTCACGACCCCCAAAATAATTAGATTAATATTTATTGTTCCGTTCTATTGCTTGCTGTCCATCTCCTATCCTGCTATCCCCACCCCCCACTCTCACCCAATCGGTCGAGGCAGATGGCCACCTTTACTGAGCCTGGTTCTGTCTGAGGTTTTATTCCCCCTCCTTTGGGCAGGTTTGGTTCCTTCCCACCGTTGCCAACTACTTGCTCAGAGGAAGTCCAAAGGCAACTTTGGATTGTTGGGTTCTCTGTTTAAATGTCCATGGTCTATACCTTACTATGTTAAGAGCTGTGTGATGGCATATGTTGTAAACTGCACTATACAAATAAAATAAAATTGAACTGAATTGTGTGTGTGTGTGTGTGTGTGGGGTGGTATTTGTGTTACAGCACCTGAGAATGTAGGCTGTAGTGGGCAGGAGGACAGCAGCGGTTCTTGCTTTGGCCATGGCAGCAATCCCTTCATCTGTGACCTCCTCCAGGTGACTGATGGCTAAGGCTCCAAGCTC